AATATCTCCATTATTTTAAGAAAAATAAAATATTTAAGTTTAATATAAATAAAATAATGATGAAAATAATTTATTACATTCAGATAACAAATAATAAATAATACAAAAATAAAAAGTATTATTCAAAAAAATTATAAATATTTAATTTTTTTTCTTATAAATCATTGTTTATATTATAAATAATTAAAATAAATGTAAAAATTTCTTTATATTGTAGTTATATGTTTATTAACTTGATATGAAATTTAAATTATATTTTTTAAGTTTTTTTTATGAAATTTTAAATAATTTAATTTAATTTAATAATAACCATTTCAAGTATAGTATTAATTAATGCCAATACTGATACACTAATTAAAATTACAATAAATAAACAATAATTATATTGATTAAAATTATTAATTAGTATATTTATTAAAGTATGCTACATAATTGTGAAATTTATATAATAAATTTAATTAAATAAGATTTAAAGGAAAAGATAAAAGAAATTACAGGAAGAAAAACTAATGATTTGAAAGTGATCAGTTCATAAAATTTATATTCAGTCTTACTTCCTACTTTTATGTAATTTAGAGCCAATATATGTTATAAATCGAAAAAAAAAAACTCTTTATTTTCTGAAGATAAAATGTTATAAACAGGATTTTATTTATTTCTAGAATATTTTTTTGACATCATAAAATCATTTTCTTATAACTAAACAGCAATATATGTATTACTTACATGCTGTCTTATGTTAAGTGCAATATCAACAAATCAGAATTTCATCAGTGAAATCTCTTCTAGTATGAGTGTTTTAACGGGAATTCGATTTTACAAAAGAAATTTATTTCGAATCATCTCTTTAACAAAATTAAATAAATATAAGCACAAGTAAATAAACAGTAGAAAAGTTTTATTTTGATCTTTGAAAATAAAATAATATAAAAGAAATATTTTTATATAATGGAAAATTTTCACTAGAGTTTAATATAAATGGTATAGCAAATAGATAAATTCTTTCGATGTATCTCAATCGACAATTGAACGAGGAAAAGCAGAAAAATAACATTAGATGAACATTTACACATTAAGCTTTCGATTCTGGAGGAAGGTCACAAAACCCGCACACAACTAATTTAGAGCAATCATAGATAAAATTTAAAAAATATTCTCTACTAATTTAGAATATTCTTCTCAATTTAATATTAAATAGATCTCATTTACTTTAACAAAATATTAAATTATTGTTATTCATAAACGAAAAGATTTTGTCTTAGGATATTTACAAATAATTAATTTAATTTTGTACGGAGAAGCTTTTAACAAACATACAGCGTAATTATATTTAAAAGAAGAATTTTATAATTAAATTTTATACATTTACTTCTCATTTTCATTAAATAAATCTATCTCGTGAGTGCTGAACATGTTTAAAGCACTAATAAAATCATAGGTAACAGAAACGAGTCCTTTAATGTTAACATTCTAAATAACTTTATTGCTGTAAAATATATAGAAAACTCTTAATAAAGTTTATTAGTACATAGTTTCTTCTTACCATGTCCATAATTTAGACGAGTTTCTCAGTAAGTTATAGTAGAAAACAGGTAATTCTGATAATAGTAGAGTTCACTAATATAATCGAGAGATAGTTGATGTCATGACTTGTGCTAGGAGTAAGAAATCGTGAGAATTCAGATCAGATTCTGCTGATAATCCCCAAGATTTCATTTAGAATTCCTTAAGGTGCACCAATGCGGTCGCTTTGGTATGTCTTATGAGTTTTTTTTAAAATGTCATTTCGATACGGTTTAGAACTTAGGAAAATTTTACATTAACATACACAATATTAGGAGAAATAAATAAATCAATAATACATTTGTAACAAAATTAAATAAAAAAGTATATGCATATTTTATATGATTATTTAATAATTAAAAAAAACAGTTTAAACTTTCGAGGACATTTAAATAAGCTATNTCTTCATTTACAAGCTGGCCGCCCCATAGTAAAAATGGTGGTGGCCTTAATGAAAAGGCCTTCTTAGTACCCACAGGTGGAAAGAATTAATGTAAAAACTGGCTGATATTAAATAAAGAATTTTTTTAAAGTAAATAAAACAAACAAAAACTTACTTCCATAGTTGACTCCTATTTCATTAATAAGAGTCTTCTTAGTTTCTTCATAGTTTAAGTCAGATGCCAATTTGTAAGGTTGCCAAGAATAGTTACCATAGTGTCGAAGATGTTTCACTAAAGCTTTTGTCCACAGTACACAATAATCTTCATTAGCCACCTCACTCCTTGCCGTCGAATCATATAAGAGTAAAACTTTCCTCCAAGAGAAGTATTTGAAAACTTCGAACATAAAGGAGGTAACCCCATTAAAAGAAAGACCAACTCTGGTTAGAAGATAATATTCAGTATCGAAATGAGATTTATCGAGACCATAATCCCAAGCCAAAGCCCCACTAGTAAGAAGAGGAACATCCCAAAATTTCAAAAGTCTAGCCACTGATGCGGTAACGTAATCGCAGACGGGTCCCAGAAATAAATGAATTCTATCTTCTATATAAGCTCTGACAGCATGCATAGGCCCATAAGCTGTACTACACTGCGAATCCAGATAATGAACATCCCACTTCCATCCATGCAGAACTTGTTGACTTCGAACTTTATCAATAGCTAAGCGAATTGCTGGAGAAACTCGTGTAATCGAAGCTAGATAAGTAGAGGAGTTTGGTAATATTACTGCAACTCGAACCGTATCATTTGATGATCTGTCGAATCTTATTCTTGGAGGGAAACTTTCACCGTTTGATTTTAGGAACATTAATGCAAATATTATTATAATTTCCGATGGCATTTTGAAAGATGAACGGTGAAAGGGCACTCGCCAGACAGGATAGCATGATATGAAATGCCAGAGAAGCGGTACAGCTGCCAGATATATAAGACACGTTCGCCGTCTGGTGATAGTTTACCACTACTACATTAAACAAGGTTCTCATATAGATTCCTGTTCTTCTTTTTTTATAAAATATTTTCTTAAAATAACCGAAGCGGTTTAATATTAATGACGCCTTTATAGGTAATTAATAATGAGATGAATACCAATACTCTTTAAAAAATTATTTTCACGAAATTAATTTTATAAAGTAGTATATAAAACGATCGTCAACACGACTTTTCATCTTATATTTTCATTTTTTTTATTTAAAGTTTTAAAAATATAATTTATTATTATTTTTGGCAGCTTCTTATAAATCATTTTAATGCTGAATTTATTTTAATTCTGCATTTTATCGTAAAGTGAAATGATTTTTTTTTCTAATGAAAATATAAAGTAGGTGAAAAATGGCTCCGAAATTCTATAAATTTAATAAGAGATTTAATAAGATAAAGATTACTTAATGAAAATTTATGAATAAAATTGATATTAATTCTTATTCTTACTTTTAATAAAAATAATTTTAAGTCCGAGTAGAAAAAATTATTTAATAAAAATTCAAATATCTGCTTAAAAAGTCTAATTCATTTATATTATTCAGTAATATATTAATTTATATCAATTTACTGTCGTAACAGATAAATTTATAAGAACCGTAATAAATTTTATTAATAAAATATTTCAATTATTACTTCAAAAAATTCAAATAGTTTTAAAATAAAATTTTTAAAAAGAACGTCTAAATTTTGTCATCAAAGTTTAATATGTTTATCAATATTTTCACTAATATTTATTTTATTATTAAATTTTACTTTATGTTTTACCATAGATTGCATTTCACACACCATAAGTATTTCAATATATAATAGATTGAAGTGTTTATGGCGTGTGAGTAAGCTTCGGAGATTAATCTAATGTAAGTGTTTTAGTACGAAATTAACGTTTTTACGCCTCGTTTATTTTCAATAATGTTATTTATTTTGTCTAAAATTTTTTATGAATTATAATTACATATTAATATTATACTAACGCCTGTGGAATGGAAAATAAACCCGCAGTATCCCTTCCCACAGTAAGGGGCAGGTAAGGGGCTAACAACCTAGTCTACAACAAACCAATATCTATTACTTACAATATATTTTTCTTTTCTCACCCCAATGGTACTGTATTACATTATTGAGACAGCATTATATAATAAATTAATAGCTTAGGAATTTGATAAAATAAATAAACAATAAAATACATAAGTATATAAATACATAGACTACTTTATATATGTAACATGTATAAGGTATATAAGGTTACATAAACATAATAATAACATAAATAATAAAACACATGATGAACGTTATGTAATATAGATAGAAAGAATAGATTTCCTAAATATAAAAGTATAGGCTTATCACTATGATAGAACTAGTTATACTGTATATGTTTTCCTTTCTGATAAACATGATATTTTTGATATGGTCTAGTAAAATATCCTATAAGCATAAATATATCTCAGTCTATCAGATGTATAGAGATACGTATGCTAAAATATGTGGTAAATTCTTTACAAACATTAATTTTCTGTACAAAATTAATATATTTTATAGAATATCGAAATATCTCTTACATCAAAAAGAAAAACCTATGTCAATAAAGAATTCATTGATTGATTGAATTTAATATAAATTATATTATTAAGTTAACGAAAATAATAGTAATTTACTCCGTTCCGAACAAAATATATATTTAAAATATTAAATTTATATACAGTAAATATAAAAATAAATTCTTGTATACTTATTTTCTCTATTGTAATTTCTTATGTGAGTGTATTCATTTGAAATTAAATAAATGTAATTTAATTACATTATTTAATTAAATGTAGCCTTATAACAATATCACGATTCTGATATTATTTGTCTGTTCTAATAATATAACAGCCTTAAAGGTATAAAACGATGTAGAAGGGAAGGAGAGAGATCTGTTAGAACAAAGTGTTTGTTAACTGCCTAGAATCAATATTTCCGAGATGACTGATTTGATCAAATTCCTGATTTTTCACCTACTACTGAACAAATATTATTAACTACAATTGATATGTTTGGTATGTTTCTGTGAAAACTGTATAAAATTTTAAAATAAATATTGATTATATAAAATTTTAATTTAATAAGAATTATAATAATAATAAAAACACTTAAGTTTCGTTAAGAGACGTATAGAAAAAAATATTAATTCGATTTTACCACATAATTATAGAAGTTTTATAATATATTTAAATTAAATTAAATTTTCGAATTAAAATTTATAAAAATAAATTTATATCGGTGAAATGATTATAAATCTTTAATAAAAACCAAATTTTTGAAGTGTAAAGACGAACTTAGACTATTGCATAAAATATATTACATCTTATAGTATTGTATGAATACCGATCATTTCTCGGCCCTTCTATTGTACTAGTACTCCTTGAAAGTGTCATAAATAAGACTGTTTTCTTTACATATTTTGCATAAAAAACAATTTAAATATAAAATACATTAATACTTTAAATATAATTATTTTTTTAGTTATAAATACACTACTGTAATTTAACGAATAATTCTATTATATTTAAAATTTATAATTAAAATAAAGTAAAAAAATTGTACATGAATTAATTTTGTTCTTAGTGTATGATAAATTTATAAAATTTATTAATAAAAACAGTCAATTAATGAAAATTATCTTTGATATAATCTATTGATTTAATACATTTTAACAATTCTTTAGTATTATCGATCATAAATAGGAAAAAGTCTGGCAAGAAAATAACTGCAACCAAACTACATCGTTTATCTCTCTTTTCTACGCATATGTCATGTACTATTTGTTAACTAAATAGAATATTTTGTCTGTTAAGAAAATGTCAACTGTATCTTTGAACACAGTACTTAATTAAATATACATAAATCAAATTTTTAGTAACATTTTCTATATGTATGTCGAGCCCATCAGTGACAAAGAGGATGAAGTTTGATTAGCTTGAACAATAAAGCAACGCAACACATAAGCGATTTGCCAAGAATAAGTGTCTCCCAGAAGGGTTTTCTTTGGAAAATTCGCCCTATTTAGGCATTATACACATGAAGAAAACTTAAAAACTACGAGACCAGGCGCGAATCCACCACGACCTGCGTTACAATAGTTAGTCGCGGGCTCGTGCCTTTCCACGTGAAATTTTCCGGGTTTTCTTCACGTGTCTAATATGTAAATAAGGTCCAGTTTACAATAGAAAATATTCCTTAATTAAAATTATTCATTAATTTCTTAATATTAATACTCTAAAAATAATAAATATATATATATTTTTAAATTTAATTNGTGTAAATTAATGAATATATAATTATTCATAAAATAATTTAATCAAGTGAATTTAAAATATTACAATAAATTCTATTTACTTACATTATATTAGATATGTATATTGTTTTAAGAAATTATAAAAATTGTTAATCTATACAAAATTCATAATTATAATATCATAAAAGAATGTAATGTACCGTAGAAAAGTAAGATAAATGTTATATTATCTGTGTTCTTTATTCAAGAAAGAAAAGTCTAATTACTGCTTGAAGTTATGGTAGAGTATGTTTACAATATTAGTATAATATTGATCAAACTATTACACATGTTTTGATCAATATTTTATCAATTGCTTATTGCATTTGTTCATGATTGCAGTACTTGTTTAATTCCTTATGATTGCAGTGCTTATTGCATTGACTACGTTTGCAGTGCTTATTCACATTGCTCAGGATTACAGTGCTTACTGCATTACTTCACATTGCATTGCTTATTGTATTGCTGATCAATATCTTATTGCTGTGAATACCTAACTTTATTTATACCTTTACTATTTCGTAGTCAATAAATACATTAACCACTCATTCTGCGTAATGTAGATTTTTATTTAATTATTGTCATAATTTAATGCAAGCAACAGCCTTTAAAATTAATTATTTTTAAATGAAATCTAATTAAGAATTTATTTTCAATTTAATGTTATACGAAAATGAAAATTAATAAACATCCTTTTTATACGACATTCTTCATTTAAAAAAATTATATTGTTAAAATTTTTAACAATATAATTGAACTTTTAAATTTAATAATAAGAAAAATATAAAATTTATTTATTATAATACAAAATTTATTTATCTTAGCTTATTTATTTATATTCAGCAACGTGACACGTGGGCGGTCTGCCACGTGTCACGTTGGAGGAAGGAAATGCCTCCAGAGAGATGTCACCAAGGAAATGCCTCCAGAGAGGTCTTTCCATGGAAAACTGGCGCCTATGTAGTTGTTACAAACATGAAAAAAACAATTTCATGTAGGCAGCCCGTTGGCGAGGAGCGAATCCATCACCAACTAACAGTACTTAGTGGTTTTATCCACTTTGCCACTGGCGGGGAGTGGTACTAGTAAACATTTTAGTATCTAATTAAGATTTCTTTAAGTCCGAAACAACTCCTAACTTCTATAAGGGTATTTATAAGTATATGTAACCATTTTTTTTATATGTCCATCATCGCTTTGTTCTACTTCTTATTTGTTAGTCACTATTATCCAATGCCATTCAATGCCCATAGGGTTAATTATATTCTCTGTATTTTAATCTACGTAATACTTTTGCATTACTTCTTAATTTGTATATTATTTGTTGCGCTGTAATTTATTGTTCGTTGTATCCATTATAAGCGAATTACTCTGTTTTCTACATATATTTTATATAACTATATGTATATTATGTAATCCTATATAGATGGTCTGGTCCGGATATGTCAGGATCCGTCCCCCCAATACTCGGCGACTCCCATTGTAAGCCTTGTTGAATCCATTTTGACTATAGTAAAAAAAGTGTTCTTATTGTTAATAAGGTGAAAATATTTTTTTTAAAATAATAGAAATATAAT